CTCGTCTCTCTGACTTGTCCCTGTTCCTTCCCTTTTCTTGTCCAGTTACTTTGAGTTTCTTGCTTTCCCTGATGAAAGCTGGCCTTTCTGTTTCCAATCCATTGCTAGAGTGAGCAACTGGCCATACAATTTTAGATGCTAGTAAATATTAATGTTACTATCACTGTCACATTAATTCAGCCTTGTGAACTGAGGGGTCAGGATTGGGCTAATGAGTGGGCCTTCCAGGCTTACTTATTACCACCAATGCCATCACCCCTCGTACCACCACCATCACAACTGCCACCACTGGCAACTTTATGAAAAGCCATCCCTTTGGGCCCTTCAGGGACTTTTCATTCTGCTTATTCTTTTCATCATCTACTTCCTAAAGTGCAGAAGGTGTACTCAGGAGGACCATTAAATTTCAAAGAGCTGTTGCTGAAAGGGGCATCCTGAGACCCCCAAGGCAAATTCCAATCTGGATGGTGAAACATGCTACTCTCTACCCTTAAGATTTCACATCTCATCACTATCATATGGTCAGTATAAATCCTAATAACAGTAGTGTCATAAATTGGTAAACTTAAAAACTATTTATATCAATGTTGAGAGAAGTTGCTACATTTCTAGCTCTTTTATTTTTATTTTTATTTATTTATTTTTATTGTACTTTAAATTCTAGGGTACATGTGCACAAAATGCTGGTTTTTTACCCAGGTATACATGTGCCATGTTGGTTTGCTGCACCCATTAACTTGTCGTTTACATTAGGTATTTCTCCTAATGCTATTCCTCCCCCAGCCCCCCATCCCATGACAGGCCGCAGTGTGTGATGTTCCCTGCCCTGTGTCCAAGTGTTTTCGTTGTTCAATTCCCACCTATGTATGAGAACATGTGGTTTGGTTTTCTGTCCTTGTGATAGTTTGCTCAGAATGATAGTTTCCAGCTTCATCCATGTCCCTGCAAAGGACATGAACTCATCCTTTTTTTATGGCTGCATAGTATTCCATGGTGTATATATGTCACATTTTCTTAATCCAGTCTATCGTTGATGGACATTCAGGTTGGTTCCAAGTCTTTGCTTTTGTGAATAGTGCCGCAGTAAACATATGTGTGCCTGTGTCTTTATAGTGGCATGATTTATAATCCTTCGGGTATATACCCAGTAATGGGATGGCTGGGTCAAATGGTATTTCTAGTTCTAGATCCTTGAGGAATTGCTGCACTGTCTTCCACAATTGTTGAACTAGTTTACACTCCCACCAACAGTGTAAAAGCATTCCTATTTCTCCGCATCCTCTCCATCATCTCTTGTTTCCTGACTTTTTTAATGATCACCATTCTATCTGGTGTGAGATGGTATCTCATTGTGGTTTTGATTTGCATTTCTCTGATGACCAGTGATGATGAGCATTTTTTCATGTGTCTGTTGGCTGCATAGATGTCTCCTTTTGAGAAGCGTCTGTTCATATCCTTTGCCTATTTTCTGATGGGGTTGTTCATTTTTTTCTTGTAAATTTGTTTGAGTTCTTTGTAGATTCTAGATATTAGCCCTTTGTCAGATGGGTAGATTGCAAAAATTTTCTCCCATTCTGTAGGTTGCCTGTTCACTCTGATGGTAGTTTCTTTTGCTGTGCAGAAGCTCTTTAGTTTAATTAGATCCCATTTGTCTATTTTGGCTTTTGTTGCCATTGCTTTTGGTGTTTTATTCATGAAGTCCTTGCCCATGCCTATGTCCTGAATGGTATTGCCTAGGTTTTCTTCAAGGGTTTTTATGGTTTTAGGTTTAACATTTAAGTCTTTAATCCATCTTGAATTAATTTTTGTATACAAGGTGTAAGGAAGGGATCCAGTTTCTGCTTTCTACATATGGCTAGCCAGTTTTCCCAGCACCATTTATTAAATAGGGAATCCTTTCCCCATTTCTTGTTTTTGTCAGGTTTGTCAAAGATCTGATGGTTGTAGATGTGTGGTGTTATTTCTGAGGGCTCTGTTCTGTTCCATTGGTCTATATTTCCATTTTGGTACCAGTACCATGCTGTTTTGGTTACTGTAGCCTTGTAGTATAGTTTGAAGTCAGGTAGCATGATGACTCCAGCTTTGTTCTTTTTGCTTAGGATTGTCTTGGCAATGCAGGCTCTTTTTTGGTTCCATATGAACTTTAAAGTAGTTTTTTCCAATTCTGTGAAGAAAGTCATTGGTAGCTTGATGGGGATGGCATTAAATCTATAAATTACCTTGGGCAGCATGGCCATTTTCATGATATTGATTCTTCCTATTCATGAGCATGCAATGTTCTTCCATTTGTTTGTGTCCTCCTTTATTTCATTGAGCAGTGGTTTGTAGTTCTCCTTGAAGAGGTCCTTCACATCCCTTGTAAGTTGTGTTCCTAGGTATTTTATTCTCTTTGTAGCAATTGTGAATGGGAGGTCATTCATTATTTGTCTGTCTGTTTTTTTGTTATTGGTGTATAGGAATGCTTGTGATTTTTGCATATTGATTTTGTATCCTGAGACTTTGCTGAACTTGCTTATCAGCTTAAGGAAATTTTGGACTGAGATGATGGGGTTTTCTAAATATACAATCATATCATCTGCAAACAGGGACACTTTGATTTCTTCTTTTCCTATTTGAATACCCTTTATATCTTTCTCTTGCCTGATTGCCCTGGCCAGAACTTCCAACACTATGTTGAATAGGAGTGGTGAGAGAGCGCATCCCTGTTTTGTGCCAGTTTTCAAAGGGAATGCTTTTCAGTGTTTGCCCATTCAGTGTGATATTGGCTGTGAGTTTGTCATAAATGGCTCTTATTATTTTGAGATGCATTCCATCAATACCTAGTTTATTGAGAGTTTTTTAGCATGAAGGGCTGTTGAATTTTGTCACAGGCCTTTTCTGCATCTATTGAGATAATCATGTGATTTTTGTCTTTGGTTCTGTTTATATGATGGATTACGTTGATTGATTTGTGTATGTTGAACCAGCCTTGCGTTTTCAGGATGAAGCCCACTTGATCATGGTGGATAAGCTTTTTGAAGTGCTGCTGGATTTGATTTGCCAGTATTTTATTGAGGATTTTTGCATCGATGTTCATCAGGGATATTGGTCTAAAATTCTCTCTTTTATTGTGTCTCTGCCAGGCTTTGGTATCAGGATGATGCTGGCCTCATAAAATGAGTTAGGGAGGATTTTCTCTTTTTCTATTGATTGGAATAATTTCAGAAGGAATGGTACCAGCTCCTCTTTGTACCTCTGGTAGGATTTGGCTGTGAATCCATCTGGTCCTGGACTTTTTTTGGTTGGTAGGCTATTATATTGCCTCAATTTCAGAGCCTGTTATTGGTCTATTCAGAGATTCAACTTCTTCCTGGTTTAATCTTGGGAGGTATATGTGTCCAGGAATTTATCCATTTCTTCTAGATTTTCTAGTTTATTTGCATAGAGGTGTTTATAATATTCTCTGATGGTAGTTTGTATTTCTGTGGGATTGGTGGTGATAGCCCCTTTATCATTTTTTTTTTTTTTTGCATCTATTTGATTCTTCTCTCTTTTCTTCTTTATTAGTCTTGCTAGTGGTCTATCAATTTTGTTGATCTTTTCAAAAAACCAGTACCTTGGAGTTTGCTGGAGGTCCACTCCAGACCCTGGATTCATTGATTTTTTGAAGGTTTTTTTGTGTCTCTGTCTCCTTCAGTTCTGCTCTGATCTTAGTTATTTCTTGCTTTCTGCTAGCTTTTGAATTTGTTTGCTCTTGCTTCTCTAGTTCTTTTAATTGTGATGTTAGGGTGTCGATTTTAGATCTTTCCTGCTTTCTCTTGTGGGCATTCAGTCCTATAAATTTCCCTCTACATACTGCTTTAAATGTGTCCCAGAGATTCTGGTATATTGTGTCTTTGTTCTCATGAGTTTCAAAGAACATCTTTGTTTCTGCCTTCATTTCTTTATTTACCCGGTAGTCATTCAGGAGCAGGTTGTTCAGTTTCCATGTAGTTGTGCGGTTTTGAGTGTGTCTCTTAATCCTCAGTTCTAATTTGATTGCACTGTGGTCTAAGAGACAGTTTGTTGTGTTTTCTGTTCTTTTACATCTGCTGATGAGTGCTTTACTTCCAACTGTGTGGTCAGTTTTGGAATAAGTGTGATGTGGTGTTGAGAAGAATGTATGTTCTGTTGATTTGCAGTGGAGAGTTCTGTAGATGTCTATGAGGTCTGCTTGGTGCAGAGCTGAGTTCAAGTCCTGGATATCCTTGTTAACCTTCTATCTCGTTGATCTGTCTAATATTGACAGTGGGGTGTTAAAGTCTCCCATTATTATTGTGTGGAAGTCTAAGTCTCTTTCTAGGTCTCTAAAGACTTGCTTTATGAATCTGGGTGCTCCTGTATTGGGTGCATATATATTTAGGTTAGTTATCTCTTCTTGTTGAATTGATCCCTTTACCACTATGTAATGGCCTGTTTTGTCTCTTTTGATCTTTGTTTGGTTTAAAATCTGTTTTGTCAGAGACTAGGATTGCAACCTCTGCTTTTTTTTGCTTTCCATTTGCTTGGCAGATCTTCCTCCATCCCTTTATTTTGAGCCTATGTGTGTCTCTGCAGGTGAGATGGGTCTCCTGAATACAGCACACTGATGGGTCTTGACTGTTTATCCAATTTGCCAGTCTGTGTCTTTTAATTGGGGCATTTAGCCCATTTACATTTAAGGTTAATATTGTTATGTGTGAATTTGATCCTGTCATTATGATGTTAGTTGGCTATTTTGCTCGTTAGTTGATGCAGTTTCTTCCTAACATCAATGGTCTTTACAATTTGGCATGTTTTTGCAGTGGCTAGTACCAGTTGTTCCTTTCCATGTTTAGTGCTTCCTTCAGGAGCTCTTGTAAGGCATTCCTGGTGGTGACAAAAATCTCTCAACATTTGCTTATCTGTAAAGGATTTTATTTCTCCTACACTTATGAAGCTTAGTTTGGCTGGATATGAAATTCTGGGTTGAAAATTCTTTTCTTTAAGAATGTTGAGGCAGTGCTGCCAACGCCCCGGTGGAGAAGCTGAGGTCAACATCAGATTTGAAATATTTAAAGTGGATACAAAACTATTTCAGCAATGCAGACAATTAAGTGTGTTGTTGTGGGCGATGGTGCTGTTGGTAAAACATGTCTCCTGATATCCTACACAACAAACAAATTTCCATCGGAATATGTACCAACTGTTTTTGACAACTATGCAGTCACAGTTATGATTGGTGGAGAACCATATACTCTTGGACTTTTTGATACTGCAGGGCAAGAGGATTATGACAGATTACCACCGCTGAGTTATCCACAAACAGATGTATTTCTAGTCTGTTTTTCAGTGGTCTCTCCATCTTCATTTGAAAATGTGAAAGAAAAGTGGGTGCCTGAGATAACTCACCACTGTCCAAAGACTCCTTTCTTGCTTGTTGGGACTCAAATTGATCTCAGAGATGACCCCTCCACTATTGAGAAACTTGCCAAGAACAAACAGAAGCCTATCACTCCAGAGACTGCTGAAAAGCTGGCCCGTGACCTGAAGGCTGTCAAGTATGTGGAGTGTTCTGCACTTACACAGAAAGGCCTAAAGAATGTATTTGACGAAGCAATATTGGCTGCCCTGGAGCCTCCAGAACCGAAGAAGAGCCGCAGGTGTGTGCTGCTATGAACATCTCTCCAGAGCCCTTTCTGCACAGCTGGTGTCGGCATCATACTAAAAGCAATGTTTAAATCAAACTAAAGATTAAAAATTAAAATTCGTTTTTGCAAAAAAAAAAAAAAAAAAAAAAAATGTTGAATATTGGCCCCCACTCCTTCTGGCTAGTAAAGTCTCTGCTGAGAGATCCACATGTTAATCAGATGGGCTTCGCTTTGTGGGTAACCCGACCTTTCTGTCTGGCTGCCCTTAACATTTTTTCCTTCATTTCAACCTTGGTGAATCTGACAATTATGTGTCTTGGGGTTGTTCTTCTTGAAGAGTATCTTTGTGGCGTTCTCTGTCTTTCCTGAATTTGAATGTTGGCCTGTCTTGCTAGGTTGGGGAATTCTCCTGGATAATATCCTGAAGAGTGTTTTCCAACTTGGTTCCATTCTCCCTGTCACTTTCAGGTACACCAATCAGACAGATTTGGTTTTTTCACATAGTACCATATTTCTTGGAGGCTTTGTTCTTTCTTTTTACTCTAAACTTCTCTGCTCACTTTATTTCATTAATTTGGTCTTCAATCACTGATACCCCTTCTTCCACTAGATCAAATCAGCTACTAAACCTTGTGCATGTGTCACGTAGTTCTCGTTCCATTGTTTTCAGCTCCATCAGGTCATTTAAGGTCTTCTCTGATGTTTATTCTAGTTAGCCATTCATCTAATCTTTTTTTCAAGGTTTTTAGCTTCCTTGCAATGGGCTCAAACATCATCCTTTAGCTTGGAGAAGTTTGTTATTACCAACCTTCTGGAGCCTACTTCTGTCAACTAGTCAAAGTCATTCTCCATCCAGCTTTGTTCCATTGCTGGTGAGGAGCTGCGATCCTTTGGAGGAGAAGAGGTGCTCCAGTTTTTAGAATTTGCAGCTTTTCTGCTCTGGTTTCTCCCCATCTTTGTGGTTTTATCTACCTTTAGTCTTTGATGTTGGTAACCTACAGATGGGGTTTTGGTGTGGATGTCCTTTTTGTTGATGTTGATGATATTCCTTTCTGTTTGTTAGTTTTCCTTCTAAGAGTCAGGTGCCTCAGCTGCAGGTCTCTTGGAGTTTGCTGGAGGTCCACTCCAGACCCTGTTTTCCTGGGTATCACCAGCAGAGACTGCAGAACAGCAAATATTGTAGAACAGCAAATATTGCTGCCTGATCCTTCCTCTGGAAGCTTTGTCCCAGAGGGGCACCTGCCTGTATGAGGTGTCAGTTGGCCCCTACAGTTCACCAAATAGCTCTGGCTTTCCATCTGCCAGGCATGTGGTAGAATTGAACTTCATGACCCCCAGATGTCCAGGTCTCCCAGTTAGGCTATGTGGGAGTCAGGGACCTACTTGAGGAGGCAGTCTGTCCGTTCTCAGAGCTCAAATGTTGTGCTGGGAGAACCACTGCTCTCTTCAGCGCTGTCAGACAGGGACCTTTAAGTCTGCCGAAGTTTCTGCTGCCTTTTGTTCAGCTATGCCCTGCCCCCAGAGGTGGAGTCAACAGAGGCAGCAGGCCTTGCTGAGCTGCGGTGGGCTCCACCCAGTTCGAGCTTCCCTGGCTGCTTTGTTTACCTACTCAAGCCTCAGCAATGGTAGACACCCCTTCCCCTGCCAGGCTGCTGCCTTGCAGGTCGATCTCACACTGCTGCGCTAGCAGTGAGCAAGGCTCCGTGGGCATGGGACCTGCTGAGCCAGGCACGGGATATAATCTCCTGGTGTGTTATTTGCTAAGACTGTTGGAAAAGTGCAGTATTTAGGCAGGAGTATCCCGTTTTTTCAGGTATAATCTGTCACAGCTTCCCTTGGCTAGGAAAGGGAAATCCCCTGACCCCTTGTGCTTCCCAGGTGAGGTGATGCCCCACCCTGCTTCGGCTATCCTTCTGTGGGCTGCACTGTCTAACCAGTCCCAGTGAGGTGAACCAGGTACCTCAGTTGGAAATGCAGAAATCACTTCACTCGTCTTCTGCATCAATCACGCTGGGAGCTGCAGACCAGAGCTGTTCCTAGTCGGCCATCTTGGAACAACTATTTTTATTTTTTGAGATGGCATCTCTGTTGCCCAGGCTGGAGTGCAATGGCATGATCTCGGCTCACTGCAACCTCCACCTCCTAGATTCAAGCAGTTCTCTTGCCTCAGCCTCCCAAGTAGCTGAGCTTATAGGTACGCACCACCACGCCCAGCTAATTTTGTATTTTTACTAGACATGGGGTTTCACTATTTTGGTCAGGCTGGTCTTGAACTCCTGACCTCAGGTGATCTACCCACCTCGGCCTCCCAAAGTGCTGGGCTTACAGACATGCCAGCTCTTTTATTTCTGGAGGTAGAGACTTTGCTTGAGTATGGATTATGAAGATGCAAAGCAAGTTAGTACCTATTGTTCCAGAGGAGAAATATAGCATGTATATTTTTGGATAGATAAAGATTTTTTCTCCCTATATTCCTTATTATATGGACCTTGATGACTTATGGGGAAGAGCTGGATACATTTGTAAAGGAATCTCAGAGATTCTTGGGAGAAAAGAGATTGAGGTCTTAACCCCTGCCTTTTAAAATTTAATATTAAATTAAACCTTGACTAAAGTCAGGGAACTCTGAGGGCAAATTCATTATGAAAGAAGGATGGAAGAAGCTGTGATGGTGGCTTCAGTTCAACATCAAGGCCTGGGTCTCCTTAAGAAATGTCATGTTGTATGGACAATGCTGAAATGCCTTCTGACCTGACTATCTTGGCACCATGGGTGTGCTGTATGTCTTACTGCTGGGTGTTTTGTGTATGTTATCAATTTTGTGATGAATATCTTTCAACTTGTATCTATTTATGAAATGTTCTCCAATATGCATCTCTGTGTGCAAGCATTTCCTTAAGATATGATCCTAGAAATGGGCATGCTAGGTCAAAGGGTGTATTAGGCAGGATAGGTAGGATATGATGCAGTAACAAACAACTCTAAAAACCTTAAAACAGGCCAGGCGCAGTGGCTCACGCCTGTAACCCCAGCACTTTGGGAGGCTGAGTGGGGCGGATCACCTGAGGTCAGGAGTTTGAGATCAGCCTGGCGAACATGAAAAAACCCTGTCTCTACTAAAAATATAAAAATTAGCTGTGTGTGGTGGCGGGTGCCTGCAACCTCAGCTACTCGGAAGGCTGAGGCAGAAGAATCACTTGAACCTGGGAGGCAGAGGTTGCAGTGAGCTAAAATGGTGCCATTGCCCTCCAGCCTAGGTGACAAGAGTGAAACTTGATCTCAAAAACAAAAATCAAACAAAAAACTCTTAAAACAACAAAACAACAAAGGCTTATTTCTCACTCATCCCACACATCTAGCTGGGTTATGTTTAAATCTTTTCACTCTGGGACCAAGGCTGGTGGGACTGCCACCATTTCAAACATGGCTAGTCACTACAGAAGCAGCAAAGAGTTCTATAGATGTTACATAGGCAATTCAATGCCCGGGCTTGGAAGTAGTACTCATCACTCCCTCTTACAACTCATAGGGCAGAACCAGTGACATGGACATCTGGGGGTTGTGAAGTTCAGTTCTACCACATGCCTGGCAGATGGAAAGCTGGAGCTATTTGGTGAACAGTATTCATGACTATTTCAAAGGGTGTGAACATTTTAAAGGCTTCTAATACATATTGCCAGATTATGTCCCAGAATGGTTGTGCCAGTTTGTACTCTTACCCATTAAACTGTCCAGTACTTGTTTTAATAATGACATCATCCTCCATTGCATGGATGTACCATAAATTATTTAATCAGTCCCCTGCCAATGAGCATCTCTATTGTTTTCTATTACAGTGATGTGGTGAATATTATTGGACACACATATATTTGTCCCCTTGTTTCTTTAGGATAAATTCATAGAGATTACAATGCTGAATAAAAGTATATGAATACTCTTAAGGCTTTTGATACATACTATCAATGCTAGCCTCTCAGAAATGTACCTTTTTATAGTCCTGTGGTCAGAATAGAAGAGTACCTGTTTCATTGGTTTGGAAGAGTGATAGTAATGGCTGTGAGCATCTTCTAAATTCCTTGATTCCAATCTCCAACTCTGGCTGATCCTGACCTTGGGTAATCAGTGCTTGAGTTCAGAAACATGGATTTGCATCAGGTGAGGAATGGAAGAGAGAGAATTTTTCTGCAAGGGCTATTTCCAGACTGGGCAGGCATAGAGTGCTCTAAGTGGCTTTTGTCTTAACTTAGAATGTGTCTGCCTGTTAGGTTTACCTTGAAACTTTGTCTTAAATCAGCCAAGTTAATGGATGAGGCTTGCCAGATGATAGAAAAACGAATGGGGCACTTGTTCGACACACTGCATCAGCTGACTGCTCAGTTTTCTCTCTGACAATGGCCAGGTCAGCCCCACCCTCCTGATTACAGTGTAAGCGGAGAGGGCAACTGGCAGATTGAAGCCATTAATGGAATGACTGGGGAAAGGACAGATAAAGGAGAGAATGAGAACAAGGACTTGTGGATGCGTTTGCTGACAGTGGATTTATAACTTTAGGGGAGAGTTAAAGAGCTACATGCATTGAGAGGGACCAGAGTTTTGCTGCTTAAGACAATAGTGAAAATACAGTATATAAGGATAAGGGAGGCACTGCTTCAAAGAGTCATAGACACTTGGGAGAAGATGAATTCTCAGATTATGATACCCCTGTTTGTTTCTCTTTCATGTTTGTTGTGTTTCCACAATAATGAAATGAAACAAGGGCGGAGTGGAGAGTGGCATGCTTCCCCCTCCAGATGAGAATTTGCCTTGAGGTCTCAGGATGCCCCTTTTGGCAACAACTCTTTAAAATTTAATGGCCCTACTGAGTACACCTTCTGTGCCCCAGGAGGTAGTGAGTGAAGAGAATAAGCAGAATGCAAAGTCCCTGAAGGGCCCAAAGATAATATTTACTAAAGAGGAAGGAAGAGAAAGCATAGACAATTTTAAGTAGAGGTTAGAGCACTCACCCTAAACTTTGGTATAGTCATGCATGTGCTTACGTGTATGTGTAAATATGCACATGCATGTACACACATATGTGCTTTGTACCACTCTCTAGCTCTGTATTAATTAGAATATTTTAGCT